CGCAGAACTTTCTGCGAGCCCAGCTGCGTCAACTTTGAACTTCCCTAGTGAGGCAGTTCACCTCTACGTGCTTCTAATCAATTCCCGGCTCGAACGACAACAGCACGCACCGCGGAGCATGCCATGAGGCACAAGATCGTACCGGTTCATTTTATTTAATTACTTCTTACCAGGCTATTATCACCCAGAACCTCGATCGCCATAGCCCAGTCATATTAGTTAACGTTCCTAGTAAGTAGCTTATACGGACCGCTTATTGCCGCGTCTTAACACACTTGTTTGCTTGTTGTGGTATAAAAGTGTAGACTACCATCATCATCATATAGTGAGGCACTGACAGTCGGGCCGCACCGCTGACTCGTATGTGACCCAAGTTGTGCCCCAATGCACAATCCAAATTGCAACCTTCGCATAGGCGACATTGATCCGTACTCAATGACTCCCATGACTGGCATCTGCATGAAGGCCATGTTGACACATCATTGAAGTGACATAAGTTCGTCAAAGCTCTTTTCCTAGAGCCTACGTGGACTGCAGAATGTCGCAGATGCCAGCTGCAATACCATCAAATGCATCTGTACGTTGACATCTTTACTTCTGTATGCAAGATCATTCCCTGATCATTCGCTCCCCACTATTCTTGTGCCTCGAATGGTGGTGAGGTTATTGCAGCTCTTAGCACGGCTGAACGTGATCCGAAACATTTCACAATAATAGGGTTTTTTTGATGGGTACGTGGACAGCCTGTTCGACAAATAGATATCAAGAACACATTGTTGCGTTGCGAGGTATACAGCATAACCGGAGCATGTCCTTTATATGCACTAGAATAATTTCTGCCATTGATTTCTTCAGTCCCGGTACCCAGGAGGAAGTAAGACCAACGAGCCAGAACTGTGTCCGTCGTGGCCCACGAGCACGAACTCTGCCTCGGGTCCAAGGCCACCAGTAGTGAACACCGGAAGAAGCCGGTGTATCGTACTCCATCCCAGGGTGCGTTCGTCGGCACCCTCATCCACATCATGACTTCGGTAGGACGGTGCCCGATCGCTGTTTGGCCTTGGGGAGAAGAGAATGCCCGTCCTGGTAAGAGAGGAGGGAAGGGAAAGATGCCGACTTTGGTGATGAAGTTGTGAGTCTCTTGCGGGAACAGGGGCCTTCATGCACTCCAAGTTTTCCGGTTGGCCTCTTTCCAGAACCGCCATGCCCCTGTTTGAATGCGCGTCTGTTGAACGGGACGGGAAGGAGGGAATAGATTGCCGTGGTGCGACTGTGAACTCTTAGCAAGAAGAAGCGCGCGAAAGCTCTGGAATTAGTATGCAAACTTCAAAAAATCCAAAGAGATACAAGGGTCACTCACCGTCATTCAGCCATCTACCCAACAAGAGATTCTCACCCACGCGAAGCGCATCGTGCTTCAGCTTGTTTCTTCGCATGCGAAGTAGGATAATGATTGCTACCGGAAACAAGCACCCGCCAATAACACCGCCTATGATTGCTGTAACGTAATTGGGGCGAGAATGCGATGAGTTCACGTTCCCAGCCACTGTAGGGACAGACGTCGATGATGAGTTTTCCTCCGATGAGTAACTCAAGGTCGATGCTATTGATGACCTGAGGATTGTTTCGGACGACGACAAAGATGACGAAAAAGAAATGGCATTTGAGGCTTCTGTTGTATACTGGACCACTAGTGTGGTTTGTGTCGACGCAGCGAACGAAGAAGCGGCTAATATTGACACCAGAGTCTCCACCGATTCGGATGGCGATACAGAGCCGGTTATCATTTGTGATTCCCGAGATAGAGTGTTGGGAGATAGTGACGCTGAAGAGGGAGCGGAGGGGTTGCTGTCACCATTACTATACGACATATTGACAGGAATGACTGTTGACATTGATACGCTGGCGGAAGGTTGCAGAATTGATGATGTGGTATTGATCAACAACCCAGACGAAGAGGAATATGAGGATGTAGGGAGTTGAGAGGACAAAGCCGAGGACACAGGTTGTCCTGAGCTCGTAGCACTCGGCGGCCCAAGCGGCGTGCTGGAACCCATGGTAATACTGGGAGCACATAGCTGTATAAGGCCAAAGAAGGAGCTTGAACATAGGTTGGACTGTGGCATAGACCACACCCACACTGGGAAGCACGACAAGCCCAATGAGAGTAACACCCTTGTGTGCCGGTTTCTGTCTGATGACATATGACTCTAGTTGGGCAAAATCCGGACAAATGGCGATTGTCAGCGTGAAAAAGGAAACAACTTGGGGTGCGTATTTCAAAGACCGGTTTATAAGCCACTGTATTCAGATAATGATCGTTTTGACTGTTGCGAATCAAGGCTCTTGAACAGTTGCCATCTTGAGACGCGGTGCCACCCATCAGAGAGTGAAGCTTAATGCGCATCCCAACCCTCCGAATTTGCCGCTACGAGGTTACCTTTATTCACATTTTATCCAGTCCATAATCTTGAACATCCGCGCTGCAGCTCATAGAGCTAACTTTAAGCCATACTATAGTGCTTTTGCGCGTTTAAACGCGCGCAATTTGATCCCTGGATTCACCTCGGATCGCGGGCAGGCCCTGAAGATGGTCCTAGAGATAGGGATGGAGATGGAGATGAATGGATAGGGCGATATGTTTCTTGTGATATAGCGCATTCGACAACAGCTGCATCTCATCACTCTTGTAATGGATATCTTGTTGAACATGAATGTACTGCCTCGTTTAAATACCAGCCGGATAACGCTCGCCGTGAGGCAAAAGCCAAAGAACAGACGTTGAATCCCGTACGTAAACTCCTCGAGATACGCATGCCCGTGTTGCCACTTTCGGAAAATATGCACCGTATAAACAGACGTCCATGTGTGCTGATGGATATGAACAAGCGTCTCGGAAAACCAAGATCTCGGTTGATACAATCGCACTAAGTGATGCCCGTTAGGTATGCAAACAGGAACGTCCACGGTAAAGTCCAATCAGGAAACTGGGCACGGTAGCATGAGAGTGCATACAGGAATGGTGGCGCACGGGTCACGAGCTGACAAAATCTGGAAGGACTGTGATCATGAGCTGGTCCGTGAGGCCGTTCGCAAGTCTGAAGGGTGTGTGACTCCTCGTAGCTTCCAAGGTAGACCTACGGCATGAGCAAGAATGAATGGGAGCGTCTCGTGTTGTCTGAGTATGTTTTGCGCGCCTCATCAGGGAGCAAGTCTTCGGTAGGACAGAGTCCAACAATACACGATACCGAGCAAATCGTCTTCCTGATCATGTTGGCCCAAGAGAAATACGTTGATTGAGATCAGGAAAGGAGGCGATCGAGGTTCTGCATGGAGATGGAATGCAGACCCATCGTGGAGCGCGATCGTCTTGCAAGCCCCATTTGGCATCACTGCCAAGCTTCCCTTCGTCCCTCCGGTGGATGGCTTGGATTTTCGAAACTATCGGTGTTGCGCATAGCAGAAGTCTCCTCGTCATCCTAGCAAGGCATTTCTTCCACGCTCCCAAGCGCTACCGAAATCTCTTCTGAGTGCATGAATGGTCGAGTGTGTAACGGAGAGTAAGGCTTCCGGACGTATGTTGTCTTCGGAATGTGGAGGGTCTCGTTGAGTTCCTTCAAACTGTACGAGGAAGGGGTGACATATAACTTGCAACCTCGACTCCTGTCAAAGGACGCATTTTCAATGCACCATGTCCCTTCTACGCCTCCGCACACAGAGTGCGACAACCGAGATGACAATGTCAAGTAGAAGACCACTTAAGACACCATCCACAACAATTGAACAACAAATCTGTAGGGTGTGTACTTGTGCTTGGTTCGCTGCTACTGAAGAAGACGCGGAGAGCGGTGCCACTGTAGACAACGACGCGAACGCCGACACCTGGGCACGAGTTTGACTGTGCATTAGAGCAGGAGGCGGAGACGTTGTAAATGATGCCGAGGCAAAATAGTTTCTTCCGGATGCGGACGTGGTAGGCGACATAGTGGCCGATGAGAATGCGGGGCTGCTTGAGGCACTACTATTGTCGCAGGGGATCGACTTGAAATGGTGTTGATGATAGAAATCGGCGAAGACGGATCAGGCCACAGGTACGTGGGTGTTGATGCCGACGTAATTGGAGGGAGCAAGAGGCAAATAGGCAAGAACAGGAAAGAGAAGGGCAATAAGTTCATGGCAGAAGCATCACCCACTGCTGGCATTCCGTCAGCTATAATGCCAGTGGATAATAGAGGATAGATGAGATATGGATTCGCGATTCGGGCAGTGACCTGTGAAATTCATCCGAACCATTCACCGATTCCGCATCGTTCCCAGATCCAGAAACAAGAGCATCATGAGCCTTTCACCGCATTCGAGTTGACATGAGTATCTTTCTGAGTAGTTACCATCCCCAGCAAAAGGGGGGCGCTGTCGATCAGAAAAGCTGATTGAACTAGAACGATTTCTTGATCACTTCGAGATTGAATCATCTAGTCATGATTTCTGTGGAGCGGCAACTTACCACACTACGCGTGTTGACCCAAGTGATGAAAGTCGCACGGCCAGCTTTTGCCAGCGAGGGCAGTGGCATTGCGTCCCAACTTTGCAGGAGACGGGGATAAATTCAAACGAGAAAACAATCACGAAATTCAGTGCTTACCGATCTCGACCAGGATGAGGTTGTTACAGTAGATATCCAGGCTACTGCTAGATCTCATTCTTCTTACAGTAATGTAGAGCTTTCAGGACGGGTTCGTACGACCTTGATTCGCAACAGGCATTCTTTGATTCGCTCCGATCTGAGTGAATCTATGGTTGCAAAAAAAGTAGATATTTAATCACAGAGTCTCAGTGACACAGATTCATGTCCACATATTTTCGTAAAACGTAAAAATGGCGGTTTGGAATGAGCTGGAAGGTAGCATGATACCAGGAGATCCACTGAGCGAGAGCCAAAGCGCAGATGGCAAACGGCCTCCATGCTGGCTCCACTCTCCAGCGCTTCTATCCGTGACAGATTTAGCGCTCCGATTGTACTTTGGTTGCACCAAAGCTTTCGGCCTACGATCACAGCTGCAAGCAGATACATTCGATCTGAATTGTGGACATTGTATGTACGCACACAACTTGCACTTTCTAGGTGGATTCCGTCAAGCAGGAAGACGAGCGAAATGATGCATCGACCGAAGGTCAGACACGATCATGTATTCTATACAACCTTCGACGAGGCATGATTAGTTTGTTCATAGTAAATTATGCAGGGGTATTTCGTGTCTCCGGGCATCAAGAATCGTGAGGAACGAACATCAGCGCGGTCACAAGCCGGAGGCGCAAGGCGCAAGCAACTCAGTACGACGCGCCCATTCCCCCTCTCCCCATTCCCCATCTGTATCTGTGCGATCCGGTGCGACGTGTACGCCCACCAAAGCAGTTGCAGCAGAGAATGTCGAAGATGATGTCAAAGATGGTGACGATGATCTGAACGGGGCGTCAGAGAGTGGCGCAAGAAAAGAAACCATGAGAGAACTTACAGTCGCGATAACGCTGACAATGATCATGATGACGCTGGCTATGGCCGAGATGACGGCCTCGATGGCGCCAACGATCGCAGAGATGATAGTACCCTGCAGAACGACACGGGAGAGTCAGTCGATGGGCGAAGAGCAGCAGGATCGCATGTACGCACCATGATGAATGAATGGAACTTGTGTTGGTCGTAAAGCTGATTAAGTTGTTGTATGCAGGCTTGTCAGTCGTGAAGAGGAGAGTGAGGAGAAGACAGCGGAGAGAGGGTTGTCTTATAGGCTCAGGGGGTGTGTGGAGGATGACGTCGATGCAAGACTTTGGCGCTATGAGACGAGCAATCGAGAGGCACACCACACCACCACACCTGCTCTTGGCCTGCGGTGGGGCAGCAACGTGCGCCAGCTCCCCGCGCCATGGGTCTCACGAGGTCCCCCGTCGTCATGTCTTACGCGTGTGTAGCCAGCAGCCTCCAGAACAACCGAGAAGAGAAGGATGAACGAGCATTTGTCGCGCGGAACGGAAGGTGCAAGGAACAAGCGAGGCAGGACAATGCTTTCTCGCGTCGGCAACTCCCGAGCCACCTCGGCGACGCCTCGGTCGACCGCCCCTGCGCTCACATCTTCTGCAATCGACATTCCCCCACCGCACCCCCGGACGCCGTCCAGCGCTACTCCGCACTTTAATCGTCTGCACAGCGCATTCCCGCCCCATGTCCACCTACGACTCCCTCCACCGCCAATGCCGCACCCTTGAGTCCCTCTTCGATACCAAGCTCACCTCCTACTCTCGCCTCGCCTCCACCGTCTCTCGCGGCCAGGACGATATCGAGGCCAACGGCTCCACCGAGCGTTGGAGGGACCTCGAGGCTGACGTCGATGAGCTCCTCGATAAGGTACGTTCCCTCTGTCCCGCCTGTCCAAGTGTACTTACAATAGGGGACATCCCGCGCAGCTGCGTGAGATCAACGACCAGCTGTCCGCCCTGGCCAGCGACACGGAGAACCCGCCATCGCAGTCTATGCTGCGTGCCATTCAGCGGCACCGTGAGGTCTACCAGGACTATGCGCGCGAGCTGCGCAGGACAAAGGTGCGTGGTGTCATCCGGCGCGGGCTGTCCTCGCTCCTGACCGCCCTGCAGACGAACGTGCAGGCCGCGCTCGACCAGGCGAATCTCCTCAGCGGCGTGCGGAATGATATCGAGTGCGTATCCCCTCTGTGTCCTGGACGGGAGTCGCTGACGCAGACGGACGCAGTGCGTACAAGTCGTCCGCTGCTGACGCGCTTCTCGCGGAGCGCGGGCACATCGACAACTCACACCGCATGACGGACGACATCCTTGCGTGCGTCGCCCTTCCGGATGCTCGCGCATCCCGTCGCTCACCCTCTTCTCCCCCACAGACAAGCATACGAGACCCGCGCCGAGTTCTCTCGCCAGCGAGTGACCATCTCCGGGATCAGTACGCGCATGTCTGGTGTCCTCAGTACGTCCCTCGCCCTTCCCGCATGCATCCCATCCAGATGTCGACACGCTCCCATACAGACACCATCCCCGGCGTAAACAACCTCATCTCGATGATCAAGTCCCGCCGGCGGCGCGACTCGATCATCGTCGGCTGCGTCATCGGCGTGTGCATCATCCTCCTGTTGATGTATATGTTCTGAGCCGGTGCAGCGCGGTGCCGGACGCCGCTTGCGAGCTGCTATACTAGATAGCATATTCCCTGTTGCGATAGTGTATATCCACCGCTATTCTGCGTAATGTATTTCTTGGATGGACTTTCATTGGAAACACAGTTGCTTTCTGGATGATGTCCTGCCGTTCCACTCTCGCAACTGACACGTATGCCTCCAACAAGAAGTAATGCATTTCTGTCCGTGGTATCCTGTCTAATGTTACAGTGTATATTGTGTTCTGCCGTCTCAGGACACCTCACTCCCCACCGCTCTCCTCCTCCGAGCTATCCAGCAAAAGTTTCTTTTTATCCCGCTTCTTCTTCACCCCAGGTAGTACCGTGTGTCCCCCACGCTCGAACACGCGCCAGTTCTCCGCGATCCGACGCACTGCTCCCCAGCCCTCCTCTGCCTTAGCCATAGCCTGACCATCGTCCCCATGGCCCGCACGGAGCATGCGCCCCGCCTCGACCTCCGCTCCGCTCTCTTCGAGCCACCACCCCCGCGCAGTTGCTGCGCGCGCGAGCATGTCCCACGTGCACGCAGCGCTATAGGCGACGTCGTGAAAGTCGGACTCGACGAGCAGCCGCGCGGGGTGCACCGCGCGGAGGAGGGCGACGTGCGCGGGCGAACGCGCGTTGATCGCGGTCGAGAGGGAGAGGAAGACGTTCGGGTGGACACGCTGTGCGGGGACGGCGGGTCAGCGCAGTCGCATGGGACGGCGGCGGGGGGCGGCGGCGCACCTCGATCTCAGCCCACCCGAGCGCGCTGAGCCCGCAGGAGTGCATGTCGACGCTGAGCGCGGTCCAGGCGGAGCCGTGCGCGGCGCGCATGCGCGCGAGGAGCGCGAGCGTTGCTTGCTGTGCCTTGACGGCGTGCATGCTGACGTTGCGGCGGAGCACGACGGCCAGCGCGAGCTGCGCCTCGAGCACGGCGACCTGGTGTGCGAGCGGCGTCGTGAACGGGGATAGCTCGCGGCGCGGCTCGGGTGCGTCGTGTGAGTGGCCTGGGGGGTGCGAGGGGGCGGGGGACGAGGCGTAGGGGGGCACGGCGGGGCGCTCGAAGGGGATACGAAAGGCGCGATCGAGCCCAACCTCGCCGAGCATTGCGTGCGGGAAGGCGGAGAGGTTCGTGCGGAGGTCCTCGACGATAGTTGCGAGCGAGACGGGGTCAGGGAGGAGCGGGAGGAGACGGTGGAAGGCTGGGAGGAGTGGGGCGTGTTCTGGCTCTGATAGTGGAAGGAGTAGGGTTTGGTAGTGGACGTCCTTGGCGGGGAGGGCGTTGGGCGGAGCGAGGGAGATCCAGTGGATGAACCACGGGTGGTACCCTGCGGACAGCCGGGGCGTCAACGAGATGCCCGGAAGAGGGAGACTGGGTTACATGTGGTGCTCCGAGGTAGTGACGGATCGCAGGGCGGAGACACCTATGCATGCGAGAGAGGACGGCGACTGACCGAAGCAGGGGATGACCTTGTCCGGGAATTGTTCTGCGAGCGAGCGCACGAGGGGCTGGTCGCTGGCGCGGGTGGCCATTGCGCAGATTCGGTGCGGGAGGCCAGAGAGGACGGCGGGTGAGAGCGGGGAGTCGGTCGGGTGGCAGTGGGCGTCGACGACGTGCGCGAGGACGGACGGGTGAGGGAGGGGATGGAGGGCGTCCATGTCCGACCGAGAGAGACGAGAGTCGACGCCGCCCAACCGAATCGATCGGCCGCGAGACTCCGCGACCCATCCCATCCCATCCCAGACCAGACCAGGCCAGTCACGCACATGCTCCGTCCTTTTTTTCTCCCCAAACACCGTCTTGCCCTCCGTTCTTTCATGTCGCGGAAATTCAGCCTCGACGTCTCGCCTCCCGTGCATCGCGGCATGGCCGTCCTCGACAGGGACGCGTTCCGCAAAGAGATACCCATCTTGGCAGCAAAAGTCTCCCCGGCAAAGGCAGGCAAGCTGTTGGTTTCGCAGGTCATGAAACGGTATGTCGTTGTATCACTCTCGATCGAGCTCGTGCCGATGTATTTTGCGGATACCAAAAGCGCGCTCTTGGACGTCAGGAGAGTTAAAAGCGTGGCAGGGACAGATGACGGGAACAGGCTTGTGTTGCTTAATTTCCAGGATCGAGGTGCATTCTGCAACATTGGCGTTCACTTGCGAGATCGCTGATACCACCTTAAGCCAGCCGACCTGTCCCCCGACGTATTGGAGTTCTTGAAGGAACAATCCGCTGAGATCGTCTCGCATACACTGCACCTGAACTACGGCTATTGGACATCAGGTAAGAGATTCTTGCCGTTGCTCGATTGCATTCCTGAGGCAGCTAACTGGACCGCATTCAGGTGATATTCTTGCGGCAGTCCTTCCCGAGGACTTAGTCGAGGAGGCCCCGTCCGGATTCGCAGCAATAGGGCATATAGGCATGTGTAATCATAGTCCAGCATGCGATGTGCTTATTTTCTTTCAGCCCACCTCAACCTCAATTCGGAATATCTCCCATACAAGCACTTAATTGGCCAGGTCATCCTCGATGTGAGCCAATGGCTATCAGAATCGATATGGATTATCGCTGACATTGTCCGGCAGAAAAACTCTCCACATCTCCGGACAGTTGTGAACAAGCTGGACTCGATTAGTAACCAGTTCCGTGTATTTAAGATGGAGCTTCTGGCTGGGGAGCCAGATTACATTGTGCAACACGTACGTTCGCATGCCATATTACAACATTCTCATGCGCTTATTTTAATTTGCAGCATGAATCGAACTGTCAGTTCACATTTGATTTCAGCGAAGTGTATTGGAACTCCCGGCTTCATACCGAGCATGCTCGTTTGGTGGACCAATTCAGTCCGGAAGACGTGGTTGCCGATGTATTTGCCGGAGTCGGCCCTTTTGCAATCCCAGCGGCAAAGAAGGGATGCGCTGTGTTCGCGAACGATCTTAACCCTGAAAGCCATAAATACCTGCTCACGAACATTGCAGACAACAAGGTATGATCCGCCTCCTTGTCCCTTAGCGTGGCTTTTCTGTATACTTCTCCGAATCTCACGCACTTCCCTTCCCAGGTGTCTACGCTCGTGCAGCCGTCCTGCGAAGATGGCAGGGCATTCATTCGCGCGGCATTCAACCGGGCAATTGACGATCCCTTCCCGCCGGTCCCTCCTCCTAAAATAAGTAAGACGAAGCAGAAGCAGGAACGTGCACAGAGGCTGCGCGAAGACGACTCGAGTCGATCGCCACCTCGAGCCAGCTCTCCCGCGCCGCCATCCGCGCCCCGACGTGCACGCATCACACACTTTTCGATGAACCTGCCCGAGTTGGCGATCGAGTTCCTCGACGCGTTCCGCGGGGTACTGGCGGCAGGGAACGCTGGGGAGCGGCCTTTGAGCGGCCTGTATGGAGGACATGACGCCATGCCATGGGTGCACTGCTACTGCTTCACGAGGGAACTCGAGCCCGAGAAGGCAGCGGTCGATATCCGGCAGGTGAGTGTTGTGTCCAGTATGACCTCACTGCTGTCACTGATGAGCGCACTGGGAATGCTAGCGGGTAGAGGAGAGGCTGGGCCATGCGGTCGGGCAGGACACGTCGTTTTACCTGGTGCGGTCGGTGGCACCGAACAAGGACATGTACTGCGTCAGTTTCCGGCTGCCGTACGACGTCGCGTTCGCAGCGTGAGTGCGGTGGGCGGGCGGGCCCGCCGGGTTGATCGAGTCGTGTGAGCGAGGGTCGGGAGCATTGGGAAGGGAAGCGAGCCTGCGTCCGTGTCCGAGTCGTCGAAGTCGCGACGCGCTCCGAGGGAGACTGCCGAGTATGGGCAGAAATGCTTAGTCAGCACCACTAACACCGCATGCAAAATGAGCAGCGCGGACGGGCGACAGCGCATTCCAAGCCTGTCTGCGTACCCTAGCCTGCCAGCGCATCCTATATACCCGGGACACCCTCCACAGTCGCCCTCTCGTAGACTACCCTACATTCTCTCTTTACTCTACACCCTAGGAGCCTTCGCTTGCTGGGTTTTAGAACGGCTATAACGTCCTCTGCTATAAATCTACGCGAGTCTCTGACGCCCGCTCTCCGGTTTCCTGCGCTTGCTTGCCGTTCAGCTCGTGTCTGCCAGCACCAGCAACCATGTTTCCGCTCTCCCTGCCACCCATCTTCCCTACGGCCTACTGCGATGCGGATCAGCCCGCTCCGACGCCTGCGCGCGCCGTATCGGCCCTGCGACACATCAAGAGCGCAGTGGGCGTGCCAGAGACTGAGATGAAGCGGTGGCGGCGCACGTTCGACGGGAATGCAACGACCGTCGTAGATGGACAAAAGTGCGTGGACGAGTTTTCTTCACTTGCTGGTGCACTGTCTGTGGGGGTGCATCAGCGATGCACAGACTCGTGGTATATGGAGGACGATCCATACTGACGCGGGTGCGGCTGGGACAGGTTTCTGAACAGCGAACAGTTCGTGAACGCGATCGCGCCGTCGGGCGACATGATGAAGATCGGGCGTGCGCAGTATGCGATTCTCTTCCGCGTCGCGGACGCGAGCAAGCGCGGGCTGGTGTCGTGGGAGGACTTTGTCGTGTTCGAGACGCTGCTGAAGCGCCCCGACGCGGACTACTGGATAGCGTTCCAATATTTCGACGTGTGCGTATCTCGAGCTGTGTCCTGCGCAGTGGGCGGGTGCTGAGCGTGTGCGTGCGACGCTGTTCCCACAGAGACGACTCGGGTACTATCACATACGACGAGTTCCAGAATGTATTCAAGGCGAACGTTGGCCCCGACGCGATTCCCTTCGACTTTGACTGGTCAGTGGTTCATCGTGGGCTGATTGTTGTCATGCTGACATGGTCATATAAATAGCGACTGGGTGAAGCTGTACCTTGGGACTAAGAACGGCCACCATGTCCTTGGATGTACGCATCTTCTTCGTAGTAGTTTTGTGCGCCGCTAATGCTGTCGACCAGACAATGAGTTCACGCAGTTGATGAAGGGCCTCCAGGGCGAGCGCCTACGCCAGGCGTTCAGATATCTAGACAAGGACCAAGATGGTTTCATTAGACCGGAACAGTTCAAGAGGATTATCCTAGTGCGCTTTGCTCACCTTTCCCCGATGTTGCATGAAACTGACATGGCTTGGTAGGAAATTGCTGGACATAAACTATCTGATGCAGTCATAGAAAGGCTTCCGACTCTCACTGTTATCTCCCCCGGTGGGCGGATATCGTACTCCGAAGTAGTGGCGTTTCATAACACGGTTAGAGGTAGGCAAATGTTATCTTTACCCGTTATTGCGAATGGTATACATGATTATTGTCACAGAGATGGACATTATTGAGCGGTAAGTTGTCCGAGCGTTCGTCGCCGGCTGACACTAACGCTAGCGAAGAATAATTCGAGAAGCCATCGCTAAATCAAAAGATGGTCGTATCGACCAGTCGGACTTCCTCAACCATTGCGAGACCAGTACAAGGTATTCCCTCTTTACGCCCATGGAGGCGTCTATCATATTCCATTTCGCGGGGCGCGGAAATGCTTCGCAGCGCCTCTCGCTGATGGACTTCGCGTCCCTGCTTGATCCACGGTGGAAGGCACCCCTGGAACGGGAGGAAAAGGAGACGACATCGGCGAAGTCCTTGCTCCATGGGGTCGCACACTCTGTATACAATTTCGTTCAAGGAGGTATGGCCGATGATCTCCGCTAGCTCCGGGGCAATTGTGACCGGGTGTTTCGCCCACAGGTATGGCGGGAGCATTTGGCGCAACGATTGTGTACCCAATTGATCTTGGTGAGTCATGCCCTCTTTGATGTCGCTTTGGTTTTTGATCCTAATACTCTCCTTAGTAAAGGTAATTGGCTCTCAGGGCCATCGCGATTTTTACGAGATATGCTGATCTGGCCTGCTACTCGTACCGCAAATGCCGCTATAGACGCGGTAAGTCAAGGTCCGATGTAACGCGCGGAGTAGTTTTACTCAGCGATGCCGTTACAGTATGCAAAACCAGCGGAGTACGGTGGTCGGCCAATTGCTGTACAAGAACAGCTGGGATTGCGTGCAAAAGGTCCTTCGTAATGAAGGCCTACGTGGATTTTATCGGGGGCTCGGGCCGCAGCTCATTGTGAGATTTACCCTGGTCGCTGAGTGAAGTGCCTCGTTGACCACTACTTACGGCAGGGCGTTGCACCGGAGAAGGCCATCAAGCTCACAGTAAATGACTTTGTCCGCTCACGGGCCATGGATCCGGAGACGGGCAGGATCAAGTTATTCTGGGAACTGGTGGCTGGCGGTACGGCAGGAGGCTGTCAAGTGGTACGGGCGTAGACATCTGAATTGCTCGCTTGGCAGTTCTGACACGATAGTTGCAGGTGTTCACGAACCCGCTTGAAATTGTGTAAGTTACGCGCGTTTTGATGAGAGATGGAGCTTACGCATCTTTTACAGCAAGATTCGTTTGCAGATTCAGGGTGAAGCCGCAAAGCTTGAAGGGGCTGCGCCCAAAGGTGCAGTTCACATCATCCGGCAGTTGGGGTTGCTTGGATTGTACAAGGGCGCGAGTGCCTGCTTGCTCCGCGACATTCCTTTCTCCGCGATCTACTTCCCTGCGTACTCTCATCTGAAGAAAGATGTCTTCCGCGAAGGCTACAACGGCAAACAACTATCATTCATGGAGACGCTCGCGTCTGCCGCGATAGCGTGAGTACGACTGGCTTGCACTGCGTCGTTTTGACTGATGCATAGCCCACCATTGATGTGCTCTGCATGCTGATCTCACTCTGTGATCTAGAGGCATGCCAGCTGCTTACCTTACAACGCCTGCAGGTGAGGCTGTCCTTGTCTTCAAAGGCGGCGATAAGACGCTGACAGACGATATCAGATGTTGTCAAGACGCGACTGCAGGTGGAAGCCCGCTCGGGACAGACCCACTACAAGGGCATGGGAGATGCGTTCGTCAAAATCTGTGAGTGGCTAATGCAGCAGTTGTGGGTGACAGTATACCGACGGCGGGACCGCAGATCAGGAAGAAGGATTCAAGGCGTTCTTCAAAGGAGGACCTGCACGAATCATTCGCAGCAGTCCCCAATTTGGGTTCACGCTCGTCGCGTACGAGTATCTGCACAAGGTGCGTTGATTTTTCCCATGGTGACCCGTTGCGGACACGGTGACACTTATACGCGATTGGCCGCGGCAGTTCCTCCCGGTAAGCATGGATACTATTTTTGAATTTGAGTGCCTGCTGATTGGCCCCGGCAGTATCCATTCGACGGCCAGAGCAGAGAGGTGGAGACGGCTCTCACCAGTCCTCGCGAAGACATGGCCAAGATTCGTGCACGGAATGCGCTCAAGATTTTGTTGGACGTGCACGGCGACTTTGGGCGGCGTACAACGTGATGGATATGCTGCGAGTGGTAGCGGCGGCCGAGAAGGGAATTACCATAGTTTCTATCGTATTTGTTGCTGTGGAATGCGATCCATTGCCCGTGGCAACTTGGTGGCCATGATGAATTCCCAGGCGACCCAGCCAATCGGGAGCAGAGGAATTCGTCGATAGAACTGCCAAGGTGCTGAACGAACTCGAGGACGTCACCTTAGAGACACGATCAATTGATCCAATTCCTCGACGTGGGATCCCTCCATCCCATATAGACTGCAAAATGGCCAGCCCTCCTTCGCCACCACTTCTCCCTCAGCTTCGTCTTCGCTTTCCTTTCTCCTCCCTTACTTTTTATTTTGCGGTACGTCTACGTCCAGAATCTCGCATCCACGCATTGAAGCTTACTCCTCGTCGTTGTCCACAGAGTGCGTTGCGTTAATCGCAGCTGCTTACCGCACATATTCGCTGCTAGCCAGTCTCGCATAGCGTAGACCGCTTCGCTCGTCGTTCTTTCAAGCTACCCCGCCGCTCTGGTTATTGCACGCACTACTTATTTACAACTGAGATCCGCCTTCGACGCCCGTCATGCATTCGATTATTTTTGGTCTTTCTCTCGCGAGCGCGGCCGTCGCGCAGATAGTGGTCGATGGCGTCTCCATGGTGCCCTCCAGTGTCGTCTGGGCCACCCCTGCTTCGACTGGAGTCGACGTCGCACTTGCTGTGGCGACCCCGGCGAGCTATGCGTCCTCTGCGCCTGCCTCGCAGATCACCACCCCTGCTAGCTATCCCTCTGCTGATACGTACTCGATGATGCCGTACTCATCTTTCATGGCTGGTGGGTACCAGAGCATGGCTTGCGGATATGGATACACAAAAGCCAGTGACGGCTCCTGCCAATCGGAATCTTGGGTATGTATTTTCCTATGTGTGATTAGCGTTCCTGACTTGGCCCCGAACGAAGTGGACCACCTCGGGCTGCTATGAGACTATCATCATAAACCATTAGTGAGTTTTTGTCGTGACGGACGGCAGTGCGTGATTCTGAATGAATGGACAATCAGTGAAGGATACAGCTCGGGCTATGGCTACAGCTCTGCAAGCTCTTGCGACTCGTACTATACCAGCACTGTCACGACCACTGACTACGCAACTTCGACTGTAACCGAGACGCTGACCGCGGTCAGTCCTACAAAACATTCTGGTTAGTTGATCTCGCTGACGCGTTTGCAGACCGCGACTGTGCCCACGACCGTCACCGTATATGCGACCGCGACCAAGGTAGAAACTGATACCCAGTCCGTCACCCAGACCGACTATGTGACGTCGACCCTGCTTGTGCCCACTACGCGTACCTACGTTTCGACCGATATTATCGACAACACAAAGACGGTCGAGCTCACCTACACCGCGACCGAGACAAGCACACAGTTCAGCACGTACACGCGGACCGACTTCTCGACTGCGACGGCAACACAGACGCAGGAAGAGACTCTGACCGACTTCCGGACTGCCACGGTGCTCAGCACCATCGTGCAGCCGACCACATACTACTCCACCTTCGTGAGCACGCAGATCATCGACAACGTCAGTCTATTTTTTCTCTGCTGTTACGGTCCATGTGGACTGATGTTCTCGATTAGACCCGGACCCTTGAGGTGACGCAGACCGCGACGATGACGGACGATGTCACGCTCGTCCAGACGGCTACGAAGACGGATACCCTGACTGATATGGTGACCGTGACTTCGGTTAGCACGCTCATTGAACCCACCACGTACACCTCCACCTATGTCAGCACGCAAGTGGTCGATGAGGTAAGTGCATACCAGATGCTATGCCGGGATACAGAGGTTGACATGTGAACTGTCCAGACGCAAACAGTAGAGAACACCGTGTTCTCAACGGTGGTGGAAGATAGGACATACTTCCAGACGCAGACATACGTCTCCACTGCTACAGCGACTGCCACCGCTACACAGACAGATACTGCAACCGAATTTGAAACCGCTACTCTCACTAAATTGGTCACCGTGACCCAGCTGAGCACCGTGATCGAGCCGACCACATACACATCTATGTTTGTCAGCACTGAGATTATCGACAATGTATGTGATAATTTCTTGATTCCGGGGCACCCGGACGTGTGCTGAGAATTTGAATATCAGACACAGACCGTGGAAAGCACCATCTTCTCGACCTTGACGGAAGACCGGACCTATGTCCAGACTCAGACTCTGCTATCGACCGCGACGGCAACGTCCACGGCATTCGCTACCCAGACTGATTTCGTTACCGAGATGGTGACCCTGACCCAGGTCAGCACGTTGGTCGAGCCCACAACGTACCTGTCGACGTTCGTCAGCACCCAGATCGTGGACGAGGTGCGTCGCCCGTTTATTTATGGAGGCGCAGCCGATTGACGCGATCCCCGCACCCCAGACCAGCACAGTGGAGAACACAATCCTGTCGACTGTAACCGAGGACCGGACGTACTACCAAACGCAGACGCTCACGTCGACCGCGACCGCCACGGCGACGGAGTTTGCGACGGAGACGGCAACCGCGACGGCGACTCAGACCGTGCTCGAGACTGCACTCGCGTCGTGTCTGAACAGGGTGCGTGCCAGTCCGCTGATCCGGAGAGTGGCTTCTGAGGCTATTTCTGCAGTGCAAGAGCCAGTACACCCTGACGATGGGGAACAGCGACACATGGAACACATATGCGTCGACCCCCACATACTACTCCGTGGCCACCACGTCGTCGTCGTCGTCGTGGTACAGTAAGCCGACCACGGTGGCGTACTCGAGTGGGACGTGGGGAGACAGTAAGTCGACCCCCGCGGCGTACTCGAGCGGGACATGGGGAGACAGCTGGGGCGCCGCGAGCACGCATGCCGTGTCTGCTGCGGCGGTGAGCGCATCACCCTCCAGCTGGAACGGCTCTAGCTGGTCCTCTTCCTCGAAAAAGTGGTAACGAAGCGGTCATGAAGTGTCGGTAAATATTATTCGAGATGTGGAACGGACTGTGACGGACGCTCGCGCGTGCTCTATCTTATGTATCGGTCTGCGTAGTTTGCACGCCTGCCTCTGTTGATATCGGATGGACCTTTGTAGGTATATATTCATAGCGTAGCATACCCGGCAGGCACAAGGGCATCTCGTCCACTTTCCTTCTGACTGTGGCTGCACACCGCGACCGGGGCAACCTCGCTCGCCGCTTGCCAGGCAGGACAATCAGGCAGAGACACAAGTGCTACGAGGAAGTCAACGCGCGCGGTGCGAGGATGAACCGTGGAGGATAAGAAATGGCAGGATTGCGATTTGGTGCAGTCGCTGGTCCTCGCGGGCCGCGGAGGCAGGGCCGGACTCGCTGCTTTCATTTTGGTGAGCGCCCAGTGAGCGCCCGGCCAGATCCCAGGGCCACACTCCCCGTCCTCCCTCCTTCCTCATCACTGCTCCCGCAACGTGCAATGCCCCTCAGCCACTCCGCAGACCCTGCAGAGCTCTCGTCGCTCGCCGGGAGCATTCGCGACCAGTTCCTCGTTTTCTATTCCTCGCGCGACGCCAGCGGCGCCCTCTGGTGCCCGGTGAGAGCCCATTTCTCATCATCAACTCGAGGCCGCTCCGCACGCGTCCCCTCCTGATAACAGCCGGACAGGACTGTATCGCTGTCGACCGCCTCGTTCAAAACACGTTTGGCCCCTCCGATGGCCCCAGTGCTCTGATCGTGTATGTCGGCCAGAAGGCAGAGTACGTACGCCCCCCCCCCGTCGATCTCGCCAGTCTGCTCATGCTGCGGTTTGCCAGGTGGAAGTCGCCCACGAACCCGTTCCGAGGGGAGCCCTGGAAGGTCGAGTCCGTACCCACGATCATTAGGGTTCAAGACGTGAGTGGTCCTGCTGCACTGCCCGGCGGGGATGAAGCGCTCACCGCACGTTGTCTCTCGCAGGGCGCGCGACTCGTGGACGGAGACATAGCGCGCACCCTAGCCTCGTTCCTCCAGAAATAAATATTGTCCACGCTGCCAGTGGGAATCCCCGGTAGCACACATGTGTCCGTGACAATGCAGCAGTCCGCCGAGACCGGGCGGGCAGGCGCCAGCCCCATGTCGCTGACTTGAATTCGAGCGGCCGTGAGCGCCTTGTGGGAGTGAACACATCAGTGCGGCTGCTCTTCTCGGGCAGAATACAGCACCATGTCGCATTCCTCAACCGCGGATCCGACCAGGGCATGGGTCACGCCGACAGCCAAGATCGGACGCCGGCACATCGCCCATGTTCTGACGCCTGGCCGTATGGCATCTGAGAGCCAGTCAGTGTATGCGGCAGGACGCCTGGCGCATGCTGCTAAGACGCTGGGGTGCACGGTGCACACATCACGATACTATCGTGGACACTTTTCGAAGAGAGCCCAATTCTATCTCCGTCCGCCCAGTCCGCTTAAGTTGAGCATCGCCCCGGACGCCCTTGACACTCCTCTCAGGCGGTCCAGCTCTCCAGGCCATGTCCCCGAACGGCGACGTCTGTCAAATGGCCCGCGAACGCACACATGCCTCCGTGGCAGGACCATCACCAGATTGGCGAGAGATTGCGAGGCGAAAACGATTAGACCGCCAGGCTCTTCTGGATCGATGGCCGCAGTGGCGACTGGGAGCGGACGTGCCGGACTCCAGAACAGACATCTCGCCCCTGCCGACGTCCCAGCTCACTGGACGCGAGCGCGAAATCGTGCATCAGGACGCTTCCGCATTGGTCGACCACATCCGGGACCGCCGGTACAGCGCCGTGGAGGTTCTCAAGGCGTTCTGCCACGCTGCGACGATTGCTCAGGGCCTCACGAACTGCCTGACGGAAATCATGTTCGAAGAAGGCCTGCAGAGGGCTGCAGAGCTTGATAGGCATTTAGAGGAGACGGGCGAAGTCGTCGGACCATTACATGGCCTACCCGTGTCGATCAAGGATCACATACGTGTCAAGGGCTATGATACGTCAACGGGATATGTAGCATGGGCTTACAATAAAGTTGCTCCTCGTGATGCGGTGGCTGTCGATATCCTACGCAAGGCCGGGGCTGTCCTGTACGTAAAGACGGCCAACCCCCAGACGCTGCTGGTTTGTCCTGACTTTCTGCGAGCGTGTCGCCGATATCTGACGGAGCTTACCAAAGTCGCTCGAGACGCACAACAACATCTACGGGCGCACATGCAACCCGTTCAATCGAGGTAAGACGCCTCGCTTCTGCTATACTTGGTATCGTGCCGCCAAGTTCACCGATCAACGTTCACAGCCCTCACTCCGGGAGGGAGCAGCGGCGGTGAGAGTTCTCTCGTCGCGGTCCGTGGCAGCCCGATGGGGATTGGCACAGACATAGGCGGATCGATCGTGAGTGCGCTTCGATCAGGGCTAGCGTTTGCACGCCTAAAATAAAATAAAAAAACAAAGCAACAACTTATTTTTCTCCATCTTTTCCGCAGCGCGTACCCGCAGCGCACATGGGCCTGTACGGCCTGAAGGGATCGGTCGGGCGGATGCCCCATGCAGGGCTGGAGGGTTCCCATGATGGCATGGATGCCATAGTGGGAGCCCTGGGGCCTCTTGCTACGTCCGCACGCGATCTGGGCTTGTTCTGCCGGGTGATGCTGCAGTACGAGCCATGGCTCGTGGAGCCGTCCCTGTTTGAGATGCCATGGAAACAGCCCCTCGTGGACGGTGAGGGAATCCCGGAGAGGCTTTCTATTGCGCTGCTCTGGGACGACGGGGTGGTGCTGCCGCACCCTCCGGTGCTGGACGCACTGAAGCGGACGAAAGATGCTCTAATCGCCGCAGGACATGACGTGATCACCTGGGTGCCGCTGGATCATAAAGAAGCGTGGGATCTGGTAGTGAGTGGTAACGCTGCCCCTGGCGGGAGGAAGCTAACGTGAATGCGGGAAGACCAAGCTCTATTTCCTCGACGGGGGGGAAGAGTACCGGGAGACGATGGAAGGGGAACCGATGGTGGCGCAGACAGAGTGGATGATGTCGCAGGTGCCTAATGATGGGAAGCCGTTCAGTGTCGGGGAGATATTCGAGCTCAATCGGGCGCGGGAGGCGTTCCGAGCCCGGGTAGCGGGGCACTGGAACGGGACGAAGGAGAGGACTGGGACGGGCAGGCACGTTGATGCGGTGCTGAGTCCAGTTGCGCCGACGTTGGCGCCTCCGCATGACACGACACGGTGGTGGGGATACAGCTCGTATTGGAATTTGATGGACTATCCAGCGGTGGTGTTCCCGAGCGGACGGTTCAGGGCGGAGGGGTACATGCCGTTGGATGTGTCGAGGGATTTTGTCGCCAGCACGCGTCCCCGGAACGAGGTGGATGAATATGTCCGGGCGCAGTGGGCGGCAGAGACGTATGAGAATGCGTCGATCGGGTTGCAGCTGATTGGGAGACGGCTGAACGAGGAGCGGTTGTTGGGGATGCTTGGGGTTGTGGAGGATGCCGTTCGGAAATACAGCTACAGGTACAGGTAGAGCGACAGTGACAGGGATATGTAATGACATTCACGTAGGGAGAGTGTGACATTCATGTTGGGCGGATGGGATGTCCGGCTAGGGAGGGTGGACAACCGCGGCAAGCGATTAAGATTTTGAAGATGCGGGCGTCTGGGATTGCCAAGGGCTGGGGGGTGGCAGGAAACCAGATCATGCGTTCAATGAAGGACTGGACGCGTGCCGGGACGGCCGACAGCCGATGGA